CCCAATAAAGTCTAACTTATAAAACCGATTTTTATCGGACAGAAAAAGATGTTATTTGACATCTCCAAAAACAAATAAGGCCATAACAGTTTTCCATATCAATCAAAGAACAAACTCATCGTTAAACAGCAAAGGGTTATTTTTAAAATAAAAACAGCAAAGGGTTTGTTCAAACAGCCTGATCAAAAATGATTTTAGTGAAACCAACCGATTCATCCTTGGTTCCTATCTCCAATAAACAATTATCTTATCTAACTATATAGGCTAGGTAGTTAGAGGAACTGTGAAGCAGCTTATTGAAAACAAATTCATCTTCGGGTCATATCTCCCAATAAATAATTACCTTATCTAGCTATATAGATTAGGTAGTTAGGGGTGTGTATTCATCAATAGACTCAGAGGGTGCTTGAAATTGCTGAAGAAATATTAAAGCAGTAGAATACTTTAAGTTACTTTAGCATGTAAATTCTTATTAAAAAAATAAACATTTACATATTTGGATAAAGTTTCGGTGCAAAAAATAAGCTGTTAATTTTTATAAAAATTTAATAAACCTGTGTACATTTATTACGAATATTTTATTAATCATATTTGTCAAGGTAAGGATTGTTATTTTAAGAAGATGTTAAGAGGTTAGTTAAAGAAATTAGTTAGATAAAAAACAAAAAGCTAAAATTTTAAAACTAAGTTGCTTATTTTCTACATTCTTAAAAACCTAATAAATATCCTGCTTTTTATGTTGCCAAATGTGAACATTGGAGCATATGTGCTCAAAGATGCTTACAAAATAAGCAATCCAAAGCATCACCTAAACTACATACGATGCATCTAGGTAATGTCCAAAAGATTTACAAGAATGAAGGTGGGAAATCAACAACTACGTCCTGCTCATTTATTAGCATATCTTTTTTTTATACACAGGAAACCCAAATCAAATTCACAGGAATCCAAGTTCTAATCCAGGCCTACCCTAATCTTTCATGATAATATACTCAAGCAAGTATTGCATAAGCACTTCACCAGATTTTAAGAACAACCAAATGTTACATAATGATAGGAAGTACCTTAGCAGCCACTTCTAAAGACTTCTGGTAGAGCTCATTTCCTGGTTCCTACAAGAGGAAAAAGACGGGACGGGGCTACAAAATCATCCACCAATACAGACGACATATATGTCATGAAAATTACATAAAGTAGGATGCTTTTTGCATGTGAAATACCTCATCAACTGCTTGCTGAAAATATTGAGCAGCCTTATTAAAGTACTCCCTGGCTTCATCCTGCTCAGGAGTCAAAAACGCATAAGAGGTATGAGCATTCCCCAAGCACCAAATTGCTTCATGTTTCTTGGGATCAACCAATATTGCCTCCTCCAGCTTCGAAATGGCATCTATTTTGAATAAAATGGTCCCAAAAAAATAAACACTTGGAGGATTAGTAACTATCTTAGCCTTGGAACTACAACCCTTGTTAAAATTAGTCTCAACTCTTTTTTTCGTTACAATCAATTCAAACCATCAGAATATTTTAACCAACTCAAGTTTCAGCATTCAGCTAATCTAAAAACTAGCATATGTTATTTTGGATCCTGATTATCCGAAAAAGAAAACATTTGATGTTCATGCGTAAAAATGATCATAGTTTCTGGACTAAAATAGTAATTAGCTCATTCGTTAAATTCTAGCAATCACCAATCTATGAATTACAAAAAGTGAACCAATTAAATTCTAGCAATCACCAATCTATGAATTACAAAAACTGAACCAAATGCAAAAACTGGATTTATTTTAAAACCACCAAAATATATTTTAGAAAATCAAGCTATGGAATGAATTCTATATGACACACTGAAGACTTTCAATACACAATCAAATTCTGGCTAGATTTGTCCACGTGGAAAAAGAATGAAAACCAATTACTACTCCATAAAATCAATTCTAAAACGAGTCAAATAAATAATTTAACAAATGATAAGCACCTAGGAGCATCTTCTTTGAATCTGAAACGCTCTGAAACTGAGCCAGCTCTACTAAAGCTCCACCCCATCTCGTCAAATTCTGCAACAAACCCACAAAAATTCAAAAAATTTCGCAAAAAAAAAAACATAAATTTTTTTAACAAAAAGCAAATACAAATGAATCGAACAAACATTGAAAGAGAAGAATATATGAACAAAAATGTGAAACAAAATGTTTAATAGAGTAAGGCAAATTCACTTCGGCGTCAAGAGGGTTCTTCGCGTAGTTAGCTTCAGCAGTTTTGCGAGCGTGCTCGAAGAACAAGAGCCTATCGAAGTCGCTCTGCATATCCATGGCTTCTCTACTTCTACTTTTGTGTACGAACAAAAGTTGATGCTGCCGCCTGTTCTGCTATTAGAGCCCTAGAAGCACTGCACCGGTACTCAAGAATATATGTGAGGAAGAAAGGCTAGCTTCAGCTCAGATTTTTTAGGAGTTTCTTTTTAATTATTTTTTAACTGATTAAATTACTGAGCATATTTAATTTATTATTATATATTGATATTTTAAAAAAAATAAATTGAATTTTTTTTTGTATTTTGAATATCCTATTTTTAATTTTTAATTTTTTTAAATAATATTCAAACTTAAATATTTATCTTTTTTAAAAAATATTATTTCTAATTTATTTTTTAAAATAATTTTTAAAAAATTAAATTAAATTAATAATTTTAATTATTTTTATAATACAAAAATTAATCTCGAATTAAATTTTAAATTCAAATATTATATATTAATTTATAATATATTTATATAATAAATTTTATTTTGTTAATAATATTCAAATTCATTAACCTTCAAATAAGTACATAAATTTAATTAATTTATACAAAATTACTTTAATATTTTTATTAATTTACAAATTTAATTTTTAACTTATTTTTTAATTATTTAAATATAATCTCATATTTCTAATTAAAAATTTAATATTTAAAATAAATATACAATAATATTAATAAAATATTAAAAATTAAATTATTATAAGTATGAAACTTTTAAAAATTAATTTATTAATTTATTATAAAAATATATATGATCTATTCAAAACAAATATAAAAATAAATAATAAAATAACATGTATGTTTTCCAACCTAAGATCGTCGAAGTGTAGGGAGTACTAGATTCTCGTCACGTGACTTTGACGTTAATGGGCCTTTCTCTCTCTTCTTAGTGGGCCTATTCGTTGTAGATTTTATATTGGATTTTTATATAAAATTTTTAGTACGGACAATTGGGCCACCCTGTTTGGACCTTTAATATTATGTTATAAATTCAATTAAACTCGATTATAAACAAATTTAATAACAATGCAGTAAATAAATATATACAAAATAAAATATAAAAATATATAATTTTACGTAAAAAATCATTTATTTATTTATTTATTCTGTGTATTTTTTCAAGAGGCTAATTCATCTCTATTTATAATAATTGTTTTTTTACTCCATATAATATTTATAATCTTACCCAAATATGTACCAAAATTTTAAAAATAATGTACTCTGTATATTCACATACATATATATATACATATTACTGTTTTGTATTTAATGTGAGCTGAACCCACAAAACAACTACCAGTGATATCTTTTTTATGTATGTATAATTAATATTACA